ACGTTTTGTGGCCACTGTAAATTCTCCTTCACGCTTAGAAGGGGAGGATGAAGCGAGGAAGATCTGCAACTACACCGCTAGATGTCACTAAATCTTACACACTGGACCTTTAAATACTTTATGTTGGGGAAGCTAATGTCATCCATGTTTTAGACTGGTTCATAGCTTAATCTAAACATGGTTCAACTCAAAGCCACTACATAGAACTTTCATTTTGTGTTGATCGGGTGTCCCCCTTGGACAAAAACGGTAGTTTCAAGGGTAATCGTAGTAGTATTAGACTGAAAATGTTTCATAACCAGTTAAAAACTCCTTGTATTACCTTTTAACCAAGTGTGAACCTATTGTGATGTCACCCATTGAGTTTGACAACAATGTAAAGCGTGGGATCATGGAATCATGTCAACAACAAGGTAATGTAGTTTAATTTGTTACATTTAGTCATCTTCATAAATTATTATAATATAATATATATTACTTTTTGTAAACTATATATCAGTATCAACCATCAAACAATTGGGTCTTATGCTATATGTAAAGAGGAAAGTCGCTGTGATGGAGATTCCTGTCAGTCTATAACTGGTCAGTTGGTTCAGTTGGTTGTTATTGCTTTTATGATACATCATTTGAGCAGAGACACCCTGTGGTATGGTGTTAGATGAGATTATTTAACAGTTTGTAAAACCTGCCACACTCTGCCTCCAGGAGTGCTGACTCACCACAAACTGTTCATTAGTCTCAGTTTGGGAGAAAAGTTGTCCAATGATGGTCTAAATGCTGTTTCCAAGGCTTCCCCACTAACAGCATCCTGGAGGAAAGAGTGAACACTACATAGCACACAGATCTGTAAGCATGAAGATATCTCGTGTACATATATATATATATATATATATATACATAGCTAAACCCTACTGTATTAATGTGCAAGGAGTAATCCACTATTTGTTTTTATTTGTTGAAGCAGGATGGTGTATGTGGGACTGAGTCAAAATAAATTACAGTGTGTGTGTTCATGGTAATGAAGGAACAGTATAGGTTACTAATGTGTTTTTAATAGTTTTTGGACAACAATGGAGCTCTATGGCACAGAGGAAGATACATCAGGCTTCAGACACACAACACTTGTTACTAGTATGCTCAGTTCATTGTTCACCCTTTACTAGTATGCATATTAGCATATTGGCTCTTTATTAGTCACTATAAAGCACGTATTAATGCCTTTTTCTGCATATATATACATATATATATTCATAACTACAAGACCATTATAGTCTTTTAGCCAAAATGTTGTCTACCGTAAGTTTTATATTAGAAATGTACAGAATGGGTCCCCAGCATTTAGAAAAACTGCCAGATGCTTGCATATGTTGGGCATAACTATATAATTATATAAGCATAATCACCTACTATATGTCTAATATGTAAGCAACTGTTTTGTAAATTTTTGCAAAAATGTACAAAATGGCAGTTTAAACCAAAAGTGGTCATATTTTACCTCAGTAGGCTGATTCTGATTCAGTTTGAGTCATTTAGGTTATTTCAATGCTTAATACATAACTGCAGCGGCAAAGACACCGGTCAATGACAAAATGCTGCACAGAAAAACATTGCTGCCAGAACTGAAGAAATTTAAATATATATATATATAATGTCTGGATATTACACCAATGACAGTTTTCTTTCTTGATTCTAAATAGAGGTCCAATGTATTAAGCATGAAATAAACTCAAAATTTATCAAAATCGGCCCACCGGTAGACAGCCATTTTGTATTTTGAAAATGTCCCCAAAAACCAGTCCAATACTGTCCAAATTGGTCAAGCAGTTGCTGAAATATTGTCCATGTATGTGATTATGCTTATCAGTGGATGACATGCGGCAAAGGGCTACAGCTTGGACTCAATTCCCTACCCCTATCGAAGGCTATAAAAGATGCAAACTCTGTGAACATTTTCAGACCACAATTGATATTTTCTCAACATTGCCTTTAAAGCAACATTAGGTAACTTTTCTACTTTTAGGTAACAGCTTAAAAAACAAACAAAATGCCACTACTTCTGTTATATTCTTATCTTTTACATAATTTATTGTTCTTATGCTTAATTTTACTTCTTAATTTTAACTATTACATGTTCTATTGTTCTTAGAATCATGTTCATGCTATTTGATGCGTCTTTTATTTGTTATTCATTTGATTGTGGTTTTATCACACAGTATTGCACAAATTTTTCTTTGCCTGCCTTTTATTTATTCTCGTCTCTTCACTCTGAGCACTTTGACCTTGACTTTCTGTTTGAAAATGAAATGAAATGAAATTAAAAATTATATTATTATTGAATTCCCCCCCTACCCAAATACCTGTACTAGCTGACTCCTTTTAGAAAAGCAGCATTTTAATTTTCTAGACATTTGAGTTAACTAAAAGAATAGAAGAGGTTCTGACCTGACTTGAAACAAACGGTATGGCAGCTGCAACATGGCCTCATTTATTTATTCAATCAGAAGCCCAAGGATAGTAACACAGAGCAGCCTGACTCCTTTAACTTTGTTCAAGTACCACTAGAGGTGAAACATATGATGCTTCAGCATTGAGTTGTGATTTAATTATTCCCCCTGATAAAGGAGCTGGTAGTTATTCAGTGGAAAGCCTGTGGCAGTAAAGCTGAGCTGTGAGCAAGAGCGCATGTGTGGGAGACGCTCTCAGCCCAGAGTCCATGAAATTCATGGATAAAAGAAATGAAGAAGTCCAATTTCAGATATCAGACTCATTATCCAGAGCAAAGTTATAATTAAGAGGCACTTTCCGAAAAACGCTGGAGGGAACATTATCTGAGTCACATCCAGTGTGAGGAGTGGGCTGTGTGTTTCTGTGTTTGCCTGGAAACAGTGGGGGCAATTATACTTCTCAGGGCTCAGGCCAGCTGATAAAGTCCTAAAGGCTTTTTTACAGGGAGATTGAGGAGAAAGCAACCCTCTCCTCCACCTCCTCCCTCTATACCCTCACATAAGTGCTGTTGGAAAGACATCACAAGGTCATACAGATAAAATAAATCTGTTAAAAGATCAAATAGTTCCTGTAGATTGAAAAAAGAAAAAAAAAAAAACGAAATGCAGAGCCGAGGCAATAGAAGGGAGAAATCAAAGTGAAATTGAAAGTGGAGTGGAGAGGCTGAGGGTGCGATGGAAAGATAGCATGTGGGTGTGAGGACAAAAAAAAAAAAACAGAAACAGACTGGATGTGACAGATGATAGGGAAGAGGTGATGGCTTGCTGAAAGGCCATTAGGACAATCACATCAACACATTGTAAACATGTACTTGTTATATCACTGCAGATCTGCATAGCAGAGTGTGAGGAGACGAGGATTACTCACCTCATTGAAGCATGATTCATCATAATGTCAGCTCAGTATTAGAGGCATTTCATTGCAAAGCCCAGATCCTGTGAGACTAATTAAAGATTTGTTACTGACAGACAACAGGGAGAGTTGCTTTCCTGCACAAATGCACAACAAGCCGCCTTGATTGAATTACATCTGAGCACAGATTGAGTTCAGGCTAAAGTGACAGCACAGTTTCAGGCCTGTGTGAGGACATTAACATTCTGAGGCAGCAGAAGAGCACAATTGCATCGATCAGAGGAATGAGCAGTAGCCTGTCGTCTTGAACATTTCTGAAATCTTACTATGTCTTCTCAGGAAAATGGAGGACGAACTATGCAACACTGTAAAAAAGGATTTTTGAGGGTGGTAAATATAAACCATGCAAATTGTCTAAAATTTACCTGATTATTCTAGTTATCAAAGAATCTATAAAATAATGGGTAAATTATACCTGCACTACCCATTTTTTAACAGTAACATCTTTTATATGTTGCTGTGTACAATATCGCGAATGCATAGGACAATTTAAGAATTGTTGAGTTGTTTTACAAGATTGTAGTCGGAGTGTTTCTGTGTTACGTGCCATGCATGCTTGAACCGAAAGTTTGAATCGGCGACAGCGCCCGTCGTTCACTGTCGGGACAAAACGCTGTATAGGGACTTCATTCTAACAGTCGGTAAGTAGGGTTTGCGGTGAAATTTGTTCACGTTGTGTATTTTACAATATTAGCAATCATACCGTTGTGTGTGTTTGCTGTGCAGAGCCTCCACAGTGTGTTGATGGAGAGCAGTGTAGGCCTACTTTCCGCGCATCTTGTTAACATTAATTTCTCTTTAGTCATCCGCTAAATATATTTTCTAAATATATATTTTCACTCTCAAGTGGCGACAATTAAGTCGTTAAATTAGTACCTCCCATTTGACTGACTCCTTAGTGGTTTTTAGGGTAGTCCGCCAACGGGAGTTTGAATTGGCGACAGACAAAAGATCGGGCGGGATTTGCAATTTATTTTGGGGTTTTGGGTTTGGGTGGATGGATAAAAATTGGGCTGGTTTCGGATCAGTTCGGCGGGTTTTTGTTGCCGAAACACGGGCACTTCAGCTCCTTCTCCGACTCTCTGTTTAGCAGGCAGCAGTCTCACTCACTCATTCACTCACACACACATCCACTACAGCTCTGACGTGCCCACACGCGCCTATACAGTTGACACACAGTTGACGCATCTGGACACACTAATGTCAAGAGTTGATGTCACTGTTCACTGGATTTTTATTTTTGCTAGGTCAGTTTATTATCATTATATCATTATATTTATTATTATAGCGCACTCCCGATTCACATATAGCGGTAAAAAAAATGTGATAGTATGAAAACATTACATTTGAATGGACTCTTATTTTGCCATACATTAAATAGCTGTCAGCGTGTGTGTGCTTGTGTCTATTAAGGAGAGCGTTTTCCAAAGTCTTTTATTTTGAAGGGACTCTTATTTTGAAAGACTTCTGAGATTTTAATTAGAAACATTTTTCTGATTTATTTACTATTTTTGAATTTTGCTATGTAAATGCCTGATTATTTTCTTGTGTAATATTTTCTTGTTATTCTTTTTTATTTGTAGGTCGATTCACTCTCTGTGTGTGGGCATTACATTCTTCAAGACTGACCCGTATACCAGTTCCCACACCAGTTCTGGGACTACCTGATCTCCCCCAGTGTATCCTGTTCAACAATTTCTGTTGTGTGTTGGACAGGACACATCTTTCTGCAGCTTTCAGGTATGCAGTGCTAAGGGAGTGATAAGTTAATGAAAATGAACTGGCTGTGCAAAGTATGTAACTTCACCACCTCAAAACGATCAGACCTATTGAAGCACAGCAGATTACAACATGGGCATTTTGGTCGAAACCAGTCCATACCCTGTCTCCATTCTGATTGTCCTTGCACCTTTAGGACATGGGGTGCGTTACGGACACATCTGTCTAGGTATCACTCACAGGCAACCAAGCCAGGCCACATCCTTGCCTTCAGGTGCCTAGTCTGTAATTCATGCTTTTTTGACAGTGAAAGACAATATTTTGAGCACATTGGTAGCCATCTCAAGAGATTTGAAACTGTGCCTTGTGTTTTTAAAGATTGTGATTATAAGACAAATATATACACAACGTTCCACAGTCATAAGAGCAGGAAACACAACCCACATTTAGTGGAAGATTTTAAGACCTCTGTTTTTCATCAATACCAAATGCAAACAGATGAAGAAAGCAACTTTGTTGAAGAGGTATACCACTGTGACTCTGTCCTTGGGGAGGATGAGGATTTGCACAAAATTATTATTAAGAGACTGGGGTTGCTCCTACTTAAATTGGAATGCATTTTCAGTGTCTCCAATACATGCATAGATGAACTAATAGAGGAACTTCATTTCCTTACAGCATCTGCATCTGGACCCGTCATTAAAGAAATTGTCTTGAGCACTTTGAGAAAGCATAGCTGTTCTTTTGAAGATTCTGTGATATCAGAACTGGTTAAAGACCTTAGCCAGCTAAACCCTTTCTGTGCTGCTTTAGGAGTGGATGGACCTTTAAGCAGTCAGTACAGGAGAGCGCAATTTATGAAGGAGCATTTCTCGCCGATTGAACCAGCTGAGTACATACTTCATAGTTGTGAGAAAAAGACATATCAGTATGTACCGATTCTCCCATTATTGTCTCAACTTGTGAACAACAGACACATTCAAAACACAATATTACAGAACAAAAGGCCATCTGATGTCTCTTCTGGATACAAATCATTTCATGATGGATCTTTCCTAAAAGAAAAGAGCTTTTTATGTGAAGATGAACTTAAACTCCCACTCATCCTTTACATAGATGACTTTGAAGTCTGCAACCCTCTGGGAACATCCCGCAAGAAGCATAAAGTCACAGCTGTGTACTGGGTGTTTGCAGACATACCTGCCACATTGCGATCTACTCTAACTTCTATTTACTTAGCCATTCTTTGCAAGACAGTTGATGTCACTCAGTATGGATACCAAAAAGTGCTGGAGCCACTGCTCAAAGATTTGAAGTCCTTCGAAGATGACGGTATTTTTGTACCAAGTCTGGGCAAAGTGCTCGAGGGGACTGTACTTGCTGTAGTCGCTGACAATCTTGGTGCTTCGTGGGTTTGCTGAAAGCTTTTTGGCTTCACATTTCTGTCGCTTTTGCATTGGAGAACGGTCACAGATCCAAGAGCATGAAGCAGGAAAAGGACTGTTTCCTGTACGGACCAAGTCCAACCATTCACGTTAAAGCAGCATTATCTGATCCCACTGAAGGTCATCATTGGTAAATGGTAAATGGACCTGTACTTGTATAGCGCCTTTCTAGTCTTCCAACCACTCAAAGCGCTTTTACACTATGTGCCACATTCACCCTTTCACTCAGTCCATTGAACAGAAACTAACATTCATACATATTCGCACGCTTTTGGGGTTCAGTATCTTGCTCATGTGGCACCAGGGGCTGGGGATCGAACCCACAACCTTCCGATTTAGGAACGACCCGCTCTGCCTCTGAGCCACAGCCGCCCCATCATTGTGGTGTAAAAAGACAGTGTCCCATCTCTGACAGACTGAGCTACTTTCATGCTACATCAGGTTATCCCCCTGATGCTTTGCATGATTTACTTGAAGGGATTGTACCTGTAGAGATATCATTCTGTCTTGGTGTGTTTATCAAGAAGAAATACTTCTCTCTTCAGGAGCTCAATCATTCCATCCATCACTTTCCTTACAAGTGGAATGACAAAAAAAAACAGCCCACAAGCTATTGCCCCAACTTTTGCATCACGAAAGAGTGTAGGAGACAACGCACACAAAAACTGGTGCTTGTTGAGGTTGCTAACATTTATGATTGGTGACAAAGTACCAGAAGATGACCCAGCTTGGGAGGTTTTGATGACCCTGAAAGATATTGTTGAGATTGTCATGGCTCCTGCACACACTGATGAGACACTAGGATACATGGAAAGTAAGATCAGTGAACACCGTTACAGGTATTCAGAAGTGTTCCCAGAGGAGAAATTGAAACCGAAACACCACTTTGTTGAACATTATCCATGGCTTACAACAGTTTTTGGGCCACTTGTGAATTTCTGGACCATGCGTTTCGAAGCCAAACACAAATTCTTTAAAAAGATTGTGAGGCAGACTGGGTGTTTCAGAAACATTCTCATGACAGTGGCAAGAAAAACCAGGCAATGATTGCATATCATACCCATGATTGCAATAATCAAAGGCCAACACCGTCTGTGTCCCAGATGACTCAAGTGCCTGTCGGTGTTCTAAAAGACAACATTAAAGAGTCATTTGCAGTGAAGTTCCCAGAGGCAGAGGTTGTGAACATGACCAACAAGGCAACCATTCTTGGTACAGCCTATAATGTTGGAATGCTGGTGCCCTTTGGATCGACCGGAGGCTTGCCTGACTTTGGGGAAATACTACAGATAATCATTGTGAATGAAACCCCTATCTTTGTTCTTAAATTGCTTAGTGGGTGGTACTGTGAACATCTAAGGAGCTTCAAAGTAGAGCCAACCGGAAAGACTGAAGTCCTTCAGCATTCCGAATTGAAAGATACATACCCCTTGGCTGCATATAATACAGCAGATGGTCGGATGGTGTCCCTGAAACACTTAATTTGCACATCACAGTAAGTATACTTAAGTTGAGTAACTGAGTCTGTTATCATATCAATTGTGTGTGCACAAGCAAGTACAGTTATTGGGGGATCTCCTCTTCGTCTCCTCTCCGATCTCTCCTCTTCCTCTTCTCCTCCTCTCCTCTTCTTGTCTCCTCTCCTCTTCCTCTTTCCCTCCTCTTTGGTGGAAGAAAACTGAAGTAAACATATGCACTCAAACTTAAAAACTATTAAGAAACAAACAACAAACAATCTCAATTTCTTTTCTTTCTTTGTCCCTGCAGCTGAGGACAACACACCCCAAACAGCAATGGCGGCCCAGTTACGAGTCATACTAGAAGAACACGATATACGAAAGTTGACACTTCCAACAGCAATCCCTAATACAGTGGAAGATCTTTTAATAGTTGTTGAAACTTTCCAGTTAGATGGGGAATTTGGACTATTATCAGAAGACAGCGATTTTGGGAACCAATTTTTCAGTGTCACCTCAACTGCTGACCTGCACGACAAGGCCACTGTGAAATTGATCAGAAAAGAGCCTGTGATCACCCTTGACCTACACCCAATAGATGAATCTGGATTGTCCTCTACAGTGAGTTCAGTGGATTCTGTGAGTAATAGGGAATTGGTGTCCTCTCTTGAATCGTCTAGCTCACAAGACACCATTATTCTCCCTGTCTCATGCCGCTCTGCTCCATGGCCAGTGCCATTTCAAATACCACAGTTTTCCTGTGATGTTGAACTTATCCTTGCAGAGGCAAACAAATCATATCATGCCACAGGAACACACTTTGAAGATGCAAGTGTTAAATCAGCAATAATTCATGACCTTTCAAAAGTCATATTCTCTTACACTGCCTACCCCTCAAGTCAGCAAATAACGTCTGTGGCCGAAGCACTAGTTGAGAAGTTCCCATGCCTTAAGGAGCCGGGCTCCTTTGCAGGGCTATACGGTTGGCAGCAGCGCATCAAATATAAGATGCACAATTACTGTGCCAAGCTAAGATCACGAAAATATGCTTATCCTGAAATAGAAATCAACACATTGAAGAGAAAGCATCCGGCTGGTGCAGCAGCTAAAAATGTGAAAAAACCAAAGAAAGCAGAAGTGAATTATCTCCCTCCACATCCTATTGGACAAGATGAAGACACATTGGAGAAGGAGAGGCTTGAATTAATCGATGAAATGGAAAAGAAGAATAATGCAAAGATAATCACAGAAAAAATGTCTAAAACCTTCTCAAGTCGAAGAGTTGAAGTGGTGACTCTCAGCCCTGCTGTTGCCATCTTTAAAGAAAGGTGGCCTGCATTGTTTAGTGAGACTCAGGTGAGAATGTTTGATAATTTTTGTTTCCACCAAGAAACATTCATTTGTTTACATAAACTCTGAGAACTGGTGTCTGTGTGAAGTTCTCCTATTTCAAATATGTTATGTTGTCTCCTACTATGTTATAATGTTGGGAGTTCATAGCGCCCTCTAGCGGCAGCAGTCCACCTTGTATTTTTTGTTCCTCTGTGATTATTCTTACTTGCTGTGCTTCGGTTTGACTGGTGAGGCTGAGCTGTTGATTACCTGCTGACGGCACGATCACTGTTTAAGTGCTAAAAGAAAAGCATGTGTGGAGTTGCTGATAAAAGGAAATAAACACGTGTCGGAGCTGAGTGTGACACTGTTTCGCCGGTCAAACGCACCCCGTGCGGTGGGATTTAGTTTAATAAAACCGTACAGTAATCAACACTAAGCCAGCCCCGTGACGGAGAAGCGGAGGTTGGACAGTGTCAACAACGGCAAGTCACAGTAGGCTAGCGTGGAAACGAGACCCGTCGGAGCTTCACGGCCGATCGACGGAGCTTCGGACCCGGTCCAGGCCCACAGGAAAGGATTTTGTGTGGTCTGTGACTGTGCTTGAGTGACTTTCATTGTGACTGTTTAGCGCGACGGCATAGGATAAGCCGATCGCTGCAAATTCGCTGTTAGCACGTTAGCTAGCCGCTAAGCTAACGGAAGTGGATCGCCGTCATCTTGGTACAGGTGCGGGGACCGGAAGTGCGTCATCAAAACAAAGAAGAAAGAGAGAGGGACATTAAAAGCATGGCGGACTGTGGAGAATTAAAGAAAAAGCGTTCCTATGCACAGGGGATGTTTAATAGGAAGGCAAATGCCATTGACTTCATCATAGACCTTTTAACTGAACATGACCTCAAACTTGAACTGAGGGCACTCAAGGGCAGCTACGAAGAGGTCTGTAATAGCAGTTTTGATTACATTGCTGCTATGGAAGAAGAGGATGCAAGTGGATTTGAAAAGGATGTAGCTGATGTAAAGAAAAGGCTGCATGATTGCCGCACAAAATATCAGGACACTGAGATGAAGTTAAAAGAGACATTGTGGTCCCGCTGTGCATCAGGTCAATTTGGTGGTCTGATGGTTGGCCTTACAGATGTGTTTGATCAGGCTGAAGCGCTCCAATCGGGGCACATAACCAGTGAACAGTATGATTTGGTGCACACAGCGGTTGAGAACAGGGTCGAAGTACTGGAGGAGTTTGTGCGGGGCTGGGAGCGCTATGTCCCCGAAAAGGAGGTGGATATCATGCGGGCCTTCCTCACAGACTGCAAGGAGAAGAGAAATAAGACTATAGTTGTACTGACTAACTACATGCGCCAAGGCACAAGATCAGTGCATGGCGACCTTGGTGTCCTTGCAAGCGGTGAAGAGAAGGAGGGAGATGTTGACGGCGGAGACGACAGTCAAGGCGGTGTGGATGATGGAGGAATGGCCACCGCTGATAGGCCGAGTGGACCTTCGGATGGTGGTGGGGTCAGTGGCACGGCACGTGATGATGGCGTGCAAAGAGCAGGTGCAGGCCCGGTCGCCAACCCAACCCCTGCTGTGATTGGCTGTGCACTGGATGGTAATGTGGACCGTCTTGATGGGGCACAAGGCACGGGCCCCGCGTCGGGGTCTCCCCAAGCGCCACCACAGAGGCATCCACCACAGTGGTCCATGAACCCAACATTTAACCCCGGCTTCTCTAGCACACCGCAGCAGCAGCGAGGAGCGCACGCTGTGCTAACAAAATGTTTGGGCAGGACGGAGCGTGTCCACCACCTCTCAGGGGTTGATCAGGCCCAGGATTGCGCTTGCACCCCTGAGCCTACCAAAGTTCTTTGGAGACCGGAGAAGCTATTGGAGATGGAAGGGTAACTGGGGGACCCTTCAGGCATTAGCTGAACCCACAGGATCCCCTGAGTGTAGGCTCTTCCACCTGCTGGACAGCATTGCTGATGCAGTAAAATGTGAACTCAGGCTGTCTCATTGCCGTACTGCGGAGGAGGTCTTCCAGGTTTTGGAGGACTGCTATGGGGACATGTCGCAAATAGCGGACAACATAGTCCTAGAGCTACAGGACTTACCAGCTGTGCGCAACAACCAACCAAGGGAGACATTGCAGTTGATCCAAGCAGTGGAAAGGGCGCTGTTGGACCTTATAGACCTGGGTTGTGAGGACGCCATAAAAAACCAGTTGGTGATCCGGTCACTTGAAAGTAAGCTGCCGGACAGTATGAAGGAAAGGTGGCTTTTGTACCGATGCGATGCAACGTCAACCCACGTAACCGGTTCGACAAACTATGGCAGTTCCTGAGAGATCAGAAGACGGTTCTAGTGCAACTGGAGCAGTTACAGATCACCAGACGACCGAACTCTGCCAGAGCGGGTGAGCCAAGCCCCCGTGAAAAGCCAAAGGAAAGACCGGGGGACCGAAGGCAGGAAAGGCGTTCATTTACCAAGGCCACGGCAAGCGGGGCGAGAGAAGAATCATTGCAATATCCTTGCGGTATGTGTGGCGAAGAGGGGCATACTGGACGTCTATACCGCTGTAAGACCTTTAAAAAGGCCAACCCGGCAGAGCGGAGGGCTCAAGTAAAAAAAATAAAAGCCTGCCCCAAATGCCTGGATCTCCATGGGAGGGACAGTCCGTGCAATAAAAAATTTCCCCTCCAGATCACCACTTCTTCCTGTGCCTCAAATCACCCGCCAAAAAGGGCACTGCTAGGGCGGAGACCAAGGGGGGAAAATAGGAGAGAACCCTGTGGCCCGACCGAAGAACAAGAGGCTTTGTTCGCTAGTCTAGGTCTGACTCTGGAGCAGCTGGAGGCTGTTCGGAAGGCCTGCACAAATAAGGTGTGGTGGATGAGAGTGGACCGAAAGAACATCCGGTCCTCATGATGTTGGTGGAGGTCACGACCAAGAGAGGAGACTGGGTCGGAGCCCTAATCGATCTAGCCTCTGATACCAACTATATCACTCACCAAGCAGCAGAGAGGCTTGGATTGTCAGGTGAGCCAATCACACTGGTCGTATTCGGTGTAGGTGGTATGGAGGCGAGGGTGGAGACAAAGAGGTACTGTGTGAGCATAAAAGTAGCCACGAAAAAGGGGACATGGCGGCTCCATGAGATGCTCTGCTATGGACTAGAGGAGATCGCCAGAGTGGACCATGCAGTGGACTCGGAGCGCCTGGAGAAATTCTTCCCTGGTGTCGTCAAACCAGGGGAGCTGGCCCGCCCGGAGAAAGTAGAATTACTTATCAGTACCCGGGAAGGTCGTCTTGCCCCCCAGCGGATGATGAGGTGCGTTGATCTGGTGTTGTGGGATGGTCCACTTGGAAAGACCGTCAGTGGCGTGCACCCGGACCTTTTTGAGGACATCAAGGTGACTGCGCGCCACTCATCGACCCACTTTGCATGCTCCATGAGAGCGCAGTCCAGGAGAGTCGAGGTTCACCATAACTACAGCCCAGTGTTAAAGAGCAGCGTGGAAGTTGGAACCACAGCTGCGTGCAATGCTGAGATCGTCAAGTGGCTGCAGTGGGACAGCATTGGGGCCGCCTGTAACCCTATGTGTGGTGGTTGTCGTTGTGGAAAGTGTGCCCCTGGGGGGAAGGAGATGTCACTCTCTGACGAGCGAGAGTTGGAGATCATCAGGGGTGGTCTGACCTTCAGGTTAAGTGACAACCACAGCGACAAGCCTCACTGGGACGCCAGGTACCCCTGGAAAGAGAACCCTGCTACCCTTCCAAACAACCGCGAAGCTGTCAAGGCGGCGTTTCTGAAATCGGAGAAGCGCCTCGAGAGGGATCCGAAGTGGAAGGAGGCTTACGCGAGGCAGGTGCATGACATGGTAGCCAGGGGGGCCGCAATCAAGCTTTCCAGGGCTGCGATTGACAGTTGGAACGGAGCTGTGTGGTGGGTGAACCACCTGACAGCACCCAACCCACACTCTGTCTCCACTCCGGTGAGACTAGTCTGGGACAGCAGTCGGGAATTCAGGGGTGTTAGCCTGAATGGCATCCTGCTGAAGGGCCCAGACGTCTTGAACCCCATCCGCACGGTCCTCCTCCGTTTCCGGGAGGGGGAGCATGCAGCGGTTGGAGATGTGTCCAAGATGTACAACTCGGTGTGGTTGGAGGATCAGGAGGTGCATGTCCATCGCTTCCTGTGGAGGGACTCTCCGGCGGATGACATCGGGGACTAGGCCGTGGGACGGATAAACATGGGCGATAAGCCGGCTGGTTGTATTTCCCAGGTGGCCATGAGGGAGACCGCCCATCTGCCCCAGTTCGCCGACAAAGTGGAAGAAAGACATGTCATCGTGGACAACGCCTACGTGGATGACATTCTGGTGTCCCACAATGACCCCCAAAGACTGAGCGAGATCCTTCAAGGGGTTGAGGCCATTCTTGCAACCAGGGGGTTTCACCTTAAGCCGTGGGTGCGGTCTGGCCAAAGTGGGAGGCAAGGCGGTGTTCCCACCAAAACTGAGACTATCGTGCTGCCCAACCAGTTATGCGACGAGGACAACAAGGCCCTGGGGGTGGGTTACCACGTGGGGGAGGACAATCTTTTCCTCATGGTGGCCGTCAATTTCTCCACAAGGAAGAAAAAAAAAATGCGGTTCACCTGTTAAATCTGTAGAAGCTTTACTTAGTAATTGACTAGTGTAAAATCTTTGTTTCTGGGTTGCCTTATTTTAAATTTGGGGGAAAAAAGGGGGGGAGGTATGTGGGGGGAAAAAATAAAAAACAAACACCTGTAGATTTATTTTATGTTAGACACACTAGGTTTTAGAGGGTGTGTTACTTTGTATTTTTGTTTATTGATGATGGGTCAGAGTTTTGTTTAATTTGATTTTGAAGTAGTCAGTGGCTATCCTCATTTTAGAGACCTCTTAAGTTATATTTGTTTCATTGAGTTAAGAAAAAGGACCACTTTGTCGACAGCCATAGACTGGGTTGGAAGACCAGGAGAAAAGGCCTCACCACCCGTGGAGAAAAAAAAAAGGGGGGGGGAAAAAAAAGGGGGGGGCGAAAGGGACCTAGTCACAGAGTCCCCTGAGCAGCTTGATGTGACCCTGTGGCAAAGTCCCGGTTCCGGGGGGGACAGAGGTTGTGGTAAGCTCAAAGGAAAGCTCGCCATTATTACAAGGGCCCAGGCAAAGAAGTTGTCTGTTGGTCCTACGGTGTGATGCTGATCACGGAGGGATGATCACGTGGCCTCCTACGGCCGATAACAGGGGATCCCGCCGGTGCTACATGGTCTTCCATAACATCTGGTGCATAAAAGAAGTTTTGGGGTCGGCTCTTGTAAGACAGATGGACTTTCGGGTCAGGGGGGGGACTTAGAAAAACGGGGGGGCAGAAGGGGCCCGGAAAGGGGCAAGGTTGCTGAGCCAGGTGGCCGGGCTTTATGACCCCATCTCTTCTGTACGCACCGGGCCAGCAGCTCCTTTTGAGTAACAAGCAGTTTGGGAAAAAAGGGTTGGAGGGGCAAAAGAAAAGGTCTGGGCGGTTTTTTTGGCCTCGACGATCCATGCAGATTTGGTTGAAGACCTATAAAAAAAAGGTTTTTTCAAAATAATAAGCAATTAATTCCCCTAAAAGGTATTCCCCCAGAATTGTTTCGAAAAAAGGGATGCAGACCTCCTGATCTCTACAGCTTCCTGGCAGGTATTGACAAGAAGGGGGAGAGGGTTTGGCTGGGACTGACTGGGTATTGGAGTTCAGTCCGGCGGACTCACCACATCGGAATGGGGCGGCGGAGGCAGCTGTCCGCGTGTTGAAGAGGTCGTTGTGCAGTGTTGGTGAGGAGGGTGACTTGACCACCCTGGAGTTTCAAACCCTCCTCTACCTGGCTGCCAACCTTTTCAACGAGAGGCTGATCGGTGCCAGAGCTCAGGTCCAGGAGGAGACTGTGGACGTTGTAACACCAAACTCGTTGCTGTTGGGTCGGGCGGGGTCCAGAGGTGACACCCAGGGTTTTGAATTCCCTACCTACCCGTTCAGTCGTCTGTGAGCAGTCCAGGTGGAGGTCGACAAGTTTTGGAGACGTTGGAGCCAGTTGGCAGGGCCTCACCTGTTCATCCGGCAAAAGTGGCATGCCCCAGCCCGGAATGTCTCGGTTGGAGACCTGGTATGGGTTGCAGACCAAAACGCCCTCCGGAGACGATTCAGGCTGGGTCGTGTCGTGGAGGCATGTCCAGATGATAAAGGTGTTGTCCGGGACGTCAAGGTGAGGATTTGTCATAGTCTTCCCATCAGCCTGTCCCAAGCCAGGAAGGACAAGGAGCCGTGTCTTTCCACTATACTACACAGAGACGTCAGAAGACTGGTGGTGTTGCTACCAGTAGAGGAGCAGGAGGAGGCTTAACTTACTCCCCTAAGTACTTGACACTGTGGACATTTGAATGCAGGACTCAGACCAAAGCTGTGTCACTGAACAGATATGTTGTTTCTTTATTTCATCACTTTAGAAGTTGCACATATTCTGTGTATTACATTGTCGTATTAATGATATTGTGTTATTGTGGCCTACTTGGTCAATGACAAGTAGCCCAAGTGGGAGGTGTGTGAAGTTCTCCTATTTCAAATATGTTATTTTGTCTCCTACTATGTTATAATGTTGGGAGTTCATAGCGCCCTCTAGCGGCAGCAGTCCACCTTGTATTTTTTGTTCCTCTGTGATTATTCTTACTTGCTGTGCTTCGGTTTGACTGGTGAGGCTGAGCTGTTGATTACCTGCTGACGGCACGATCACTGTTTAAGTGCTAAAAGAAAAGCATGTGTGGAGTTGCTGATAAAAGGAAATAAACACGTGAAAAAGATATTGAGTGTCGGAGCTGAGTGTGACTCTGTTTCGCCGGTCAAACGCACCCCGTGCGGTGGGATTTAGTTTAATAAAACCGTACAGTGTCTGTCATTGAAAGTTTCCTATACTGTCCCTTTACTCATTCACTAGATCAAAGAAGAGTTCCGTCGTATAACGACAATTTCCTTGGAGGAGACATTCATGCGGAAGCTTGATGAGTACTTACCATGTCTTCTACAGCTGATGCGTGCAAAAGGAGGAGCTGCTGGTTCCAGGATGTGTCCTCTACTGGACACTGTAAATGAGGTATGTTTTTATTTCCCTTATTTCACAAATGTGCAATAAGTAATTTAAATGAATTATTGGAAATTATTTGTAAACTGTTGATTTGATATGCAGGAGCTCCTAACCAACTTACCAATTTACAGTTTAACATAAAACCTGTAAAGAATCTAAAACGGTTTTAATTTTCAATGACTTAAGTCTTAGTGTATATAAATCTCTGACTTCCACTTTAAGTCTTTTCACAAAAATGTTATCTCCCTACAGTCACAGAGCCTTGAGAAAAAAAGGGATGTAGTTCTCTGTTGCCTTACTGAGTATCTTGGGGAAAGACAAGAGGACCTTTTCCAAGATTGCCAGGTTATTAAATGACTGATCTCTCCTCTTCCTCTCCTCTCCTTTCTGATCTCCTTCTCTCCTCTTCTCTCCTCTCCTCTCTGATCTCCTCTTCTCGCCTCTCCTCTCCTCTTCCTCTTCTCCTTTCCACATTGCATCATGGAAAATGTAGATGCACCAATTGTGGAATGTTGAGCCTTTTAATGTCACCTACTTTTATTGAATTGCTGATTGATAAAAAAAAACGGCTTGAGTTGAAATAAATTCCTTTGACAAGATGATAAGACTAAAATGTATTGGAACATCACCTCATATCATATATTTCAATTAAAATGTATTTGTTTTTTGTTTTTTGTTTTTAACATGGAGGACTGTGAGGACTACACAAACCAAACCATTAAGGTCATTGTGATCCATGATGTCATGGCTGAGGAAGATCCAGCAGAAGTGGCCATTGTCTTCGAGGGACACCAAGTGCTGACTGGGTGTGGAAATCGAACCAAGGCATGTGTGCTGCTCATGGGATTGATCTATGCCCTCAATCTTGAGTATCCCAAGACACTGAAAAATACCTTGGAAGTATTCCAGAAACTTTTTCTGGAGCTTGACGGAACAAAGCTTCTTAAGAAGGTCCACAGCCTCAAAAGCAAGCTCATGGAATGAACTGTTTATGTGAAAGTTCTGGCATACCTGACGTTTCTGATCTCCTCCTCTCCTCTCCTGTCCTATTCCTCTTTCTCTCCTCTCCTCTTCCTCTTTCCCTCCCCTCCCCTCCTCTCCTCCTCTTCCTCTTCCTCTCCTCTCCTCCCTGACCACAGCCTCAAAAGCAAGCTCATGGAATGAACTGTTTATATGAAAGTTCTGGCATGTCTGACGTTTCCCCTCTTGTTCTAATGAGGTTTTTTCGTTCATATAATTTCAGGAACTTGCTTCATATACATAGCATTCTGCAGAGCATAGCACTTAGTTTTTGTAGATGGAGACAGTTGGATGGGGTTGTGTCATTTTTTATTTATTTATTTGATTTTATTTGAGCAATCCTAAATACTTCAAACAAGTAAAAAAAACAAATGTTTTGTCTAGTTGTTCAGGAACAACATGTTATTATGAAAAAGGTGTTTGAAATGTTTTGTGATCCTGTTGTGCAGAACGTTGCATATTATTTTAAAACTTTTGAACACTTTTGAAGGTGCTTCAACTCTCCCTTGCTCTACTCTTGTTCCCTGTAGCAATAATTTATCCTCAGGTGGAAATATTTTGTGATACAATTGTTCCTTTGCACAGCAAAGGACAAGCAGTTGTTCTCATGGTCCACATGTTTTTTATGTGGTTGAATAAAAAACATTGACATAATCACTGTCTGACAGTAAGTTTTTGGGTAAATCTTACCTTCCTTGAATAAGTAACAGTTAATTACTCATATTAATACATTTTGAATAGTAATTATTAAGTAAATACCTTAAGAATCAAGGGTTAATATTACCCAATTTTAATGAGTAATTAGTTGTGGAATGTACTGAGAAATATGAGGTACTTAATTTATTTGAGTATTTTATAGCTTTTGAAAAATATGGAGTCAAATCTATCCAAACAAAGTGAGTGCAAATTGTTACCTCAGTTTTATTGGGTAAATTCCATAGGTTGTTTTTTACAGTGAAGGAAGGGAAAATTGGATATCCTTCAGGAGGAAGGAGGAAAAACAGTAATTGTGATTCTTAGAACGGATGCACAGGCGGGGGAGAGAGAGAGAGAGAGAGAGAGAGAGAGAGAGAGAGAGAGAGAGAAACAGTGTTCCGTATCACATTTAGGCCCAGTCGAAACTCAATCGCTTTCTGCGATGGCACAAGTTTACTTGAAAGAAAAGGGCTAAAAGTTTTGGAGTCTTGGTGTAATTGGACAACTTCACATCCAACTACAGGACTGCAGCATCCCAAATCTTAGCTTCGATTTGGACATGTCACAATAAATGAACAATACACAGCCTTTGTTTTTTTTTGTAAGCATCAATGTGAACTACATTTTTTCTTCTCCTGCTTGATAGAAATGCATATTTAGAAACCATAACCCCATCTCCACCTAGTATAACCTATGATTTATATCTAGATACATTATCTAGATAAAGACATCTGATCATAAAACTTTACGTTTGCACCTGCTGCAATAGCCGTTCTTGTCATCCCTTTTCTGCCCACATTATGACGGGATCTCAATATGCAAATCATGTTGGTGGAGCTGGCAGATATGAGCCAGTGGCACAGTATGCAATCATCTAGATAATCTTTTTACAGCGGGAATTTGCTTCATGCGCCCCTGGGATGTGTTGCACAAACTGGTATTTCCTAAGCCTGGTCCTGTAGAGTGGACTTAAGCCTAGTCTAAACTACGTCTGGTGATGCATGTTCATGTGAATGCCCATGCGCCTATGGCGCCTAGCACCTGGTGTTGCTAGGATACATTATTAACAATCTCCCGCTGTCTTGTTAATTTGTAGCTAATCATTTGTAATTTGCGGTAAGGTTAAGGACAATCAAAGAAAAGGCAATTTCACTGAGATAAAGCATTTAATAGGTGTGTTGGCAGCACAAGAAAACATTGACTGCCAAGCAGTACAATTGTGGAAAATAAGAAGAAACAATCAACTTGGAGAGAAATAAGGCCATAGCCTTTGTTCAGAAAATGATTTAAGGAAAAAGTGGAGAGACCTTCCGAGCAAGGCAAAGAAAGACATTTCTTTGACAAAAAGCCATCAAGCTGCCAGAAGTCTTCCCCTGAAAACTTCAATATACATTGATCTATAAACAGATTTTGACTTTACGCATGCTCCTGACCAGGTGTAAGATTTACTTGCGATCTTAGTGAGAAGCCCAGAAGGTACAACCGTATAACTATTAGGTTGGACTTAGGAATTCATAGTAATGAATGGAGCGCTGCCCTTGACACTGTATCCAGTTCTCCCTTAATACGTCCATGGTTGGCATTTGTGCTAGCTCAGCTACTCCCATCAATCTTGTGACCCTGCCTTTACGTATTTTCTTCTGGAAATGGGTTAAGTGATAGGGATCATGACGAATCAGGGAAGTACACTTTGTGACTAATAAGACCCAATCAGGAAGTGAACACCGATGCCTACATCATCGTTTTCAAAGGTCTCCTTTTCCGCCAATTCAGACTAAGACACAACACTGGAGTTTTCAAATTTAAAAAACAGGCAAGGCTGCATTTCCAAAAGTCTCAGGGGGAGTGCCGGGGGAGTGTGGAGGCTAGACATGAATGTAGAAAAAGTCATGCGCTTTACAAAATTTATGAAGAAATTAAAACTAATTTTTATTAGTTTTGATGTAGCCCTAGTCATACACAACATTGCTGTTTATCAAGAGTCTCCTCATATGGACTCCACTTATGTATACAAACTCTGTTGTATTAAAAAGGCTGCGCATGTGTGTACATGAAAGGATGTTCAAGGCTCCACTGTTCCTGTTTAAATAAACGCATTGCTACAATTTGTTGGGGCTGAATGTAGAGAGTTAGGAGGCCTTTCAACTTGTTAGGGGGTTGTTTTTCTTAAGGATGTGGTCAAACTGTACAGATGTTATTTACACCTGACTGAGATCTGATCACAATGCAAACCAGACGACCTTCACTTGCAGTCTGATCACATGTTAGTACCAGATGGAAAAGGAGTCTAACTGGACACCACCTCTAGAAGGTAAAATTAAACAAATAAGGGAAAACATTTTAATACATTGGTACTTTAAGACTCCATACTACTACTACATAACAGGCGTAGAATGTCCCTTCTTTTCCTGATACAATTACAAACATCAAATAAAAACGGTTATGAATTATTGCTACTTGCCAAACCTTGAAGCTAGTTACAACACTGTGTCCTCACACTGTGGGTTTTTCAGACTGATTAAATATTTATCCTTTGTTCCAAAAATAAAGCTGAAAATCCATCTCTGAATTGGGAGGAACAGACACCAGGGCTTTTGTATCATTATTAGCCCCAAAGCACATTCTCATCTTGCCTTTGTTTCATGTCCGTATGACGTTGCATTCTACTACAACACAGTCTCCAGGCTCCCCTTACAAATTTTATCAATATGTAACTCAAGCTAGATATGGGCTTCATATGAGCTCTTTCTGTTTCCACTTCACACCTAGTCTTAAAGAACTACACCCACTATTTGGCATCTTGAAAATCATTAGAGTAACACTGGTATAGAGAGCATAAGGCTGACCTTGAATCTGTGTAAAATCCATTCTTGTGCCCATATCGATCAGAAAAAAGAATCTCAGATCTTTATTTCTTATATTCTATATTGCATTCTCTATTTTGTATTGCACTCTGTATTGTAGCTGGATTGTTGTGCGTCTGTGCCCACACCAGTTAGTAATAAAACTATTAAAATTAAAGGGGCACCACAGCATTTTATCATTGCACTTCCATAAAGTTGTAGGACTCATAAGAGACAGATTTAAAAAGAATGGTCCAAAATCGAAGCAGTAGAGGCTGTGGCATCCTGACATTTAGTCCCTAGTATCAGTAAAGCTCTGAACAGATCTAGAGCCATCTGTAAAAGATGCCTTGCCACTCCAGTTTGAAAAACAGAAATTAACAAATATAATTTAATCATCGGTTATGGCCACATTCTAGATAAGGTGGTAGTTCAATGAAAAAAGTATTTGGAAATAAAATAATTTATTGTAAATTATTACAAAAATTATCACAAGCACAGCAAATCTGAGCGCAAGCAGCTTTTTAAGTCCGAAGGCAGAGTTTTGAGGAAAAGTATTAAAAATCTGCACGAGAAATCAATAAGTCATGTTCTCAAACTAAAAGACCACACTCTTGAATAAAGACAGGGAAATAGCCCCATATTTTCAAAATATGTTAATTTGGGGGCTCCTCAAGACAAATATTGATATAAGTGATTGTTTGCACATTGTAGATCAGCATATATTTCTGCCACTGCTTAAATTCTCCATGCCACCCTCTTGCCACCTCATGAATGTTTGTCTAGATTCACTCCTGGCTCCAAAAACACTGGATCACCTAAATTCAAAATGCCAACAATAGCATCTTTACATTATACTCTCACTCATTGATAATGCCCCACAACTACAGACCCCTGTTTTTTATGTAGGCTTTCTTTTATAAATGTGTAGTCTCTGCTTAACCTGAGTAACCCTGATGACATAAAAATTCCTTTCTCAGACTTGACAAAACTCCTGCAGAACCACAGAAGACATTATACAGCTGTCTCTACAGGAGTGGGACCAGCCCTGACTGCTAAACTCGGCCAGTTGCGCAAAACACCTTAAGTTAGAATTTAAGAGTCCGAGTTAAAATCGGATTGGTTGCACACCCTTAAGTCTTCTTCTCAAGGTGTCCTTAAGATGTTCACTTAAGTTTTTAAGGTTACTTCTTTAAGGTTTTCTTATGTTAGTCTTTCACTTCCTTAAAGTTAGTTAAACCTTTGCACAAAAGACCGTAGCAACCAGCAACCGTAGCAACCGTAGCAAGTTAGGGAAAAAACTTAAGTTACCTCTAACTCCATCTTAATCACAACATGGCAGCATTTTTTTGACGATAAGTGAAGAAAGTTAACGAGTTAGAGTGAAGTTAACCGTTAGGATGAAATGTCTTACAATTTTTGTTGGATTCCTTGCTGTAAATTATCTCTTTTTTGTCCAGGAAAGAGAGGGTGTCATATTTATTTTTACCTCTTGGATTGACATCTTCATCGGACAGAATTTTTCTTGTAATTCCCTCTCACACCTCATTGCTTTCTGTTTGCTGTAATTAGCGGATCAAATGTGTGTTTTCTTCTGACATTTTTTTACTAACTATAGACCAGCAGTATCACAGGCACAAGTGCAAGCAAACAAATGGTCTCTATGGAAACTGTATTTAATGCTTTAAAATGTTTTTCAATATTCTCTTCTAATATTCTTCCTTTCATAAGGAACACTTTAGTAAGTGCATCAGCTAAGGAAAAATTAAGCCTTAATGTCATACTTAAAGGTCCAGTGTATAACAATTAGGAGGATCTATTGGCAAAACTGGAATATAATATTTATAGGTATGTTTTCATTAATGTATAATCACCTGGAAATAATAATTGTTTTGTTTTGTTACCTTAGCTGTTTTTATCTACAGACATTGGGTTGCCTTCCATCATATTTCTACAATAGCCCAGAACAGACTGTAGATAGGGTCTTTTATGTATTTCGTGAGATTCACTCCCAACATAGTTTCTCCTACACACTTCAATTAAATTGTATTTGTATAGCGCCAATTCATAACAGAAGTTATCTCAGGTCACAAAATATAGCAGGTCTAGACCGAA